TGAGACGGTCAGGATCAAACTCCTTCCTTCCTTCCTTCCCTCCCTCCCTCTCTCCTTCTCAATAGCACTTAGACTTATATACCACTTCACAGAGCTTTCCAGCCCTCTCTAAGCGGTTTATAGAATCAGCATATTGTCCCCAACAATCTGGGTCCTCATTTTACCTACCCCGGAAGGATGGAAGGCTGAGTCAACCTTGAGCCTGGTGAGATTCAATCTGCCAAATAGTAAGCAGCCGGCAGTCAGCAGAAGTAGCCTGCAGTACTGCACTCTAACCACTGCACCACTGCCGCTCATGGCCTAACAGAGTTCTGTCTAGAAGATACATCTTCCTGGTTAGTTGAGGATTTAACAGGTTGTCTGATTACTTGATCCATGAGCTTTCTCCCCTTAGCTAACCAAAAGATTCTACAGGTAATCCCTGGTTTGCAACAGTTCATTTAGTGACCATTCAAAGTTACAGCAGCACTGATCAAAATAGCCTAAGGCCATTGTTCGCACTTACGACCATTGCAGCATCTCCAAGGTCATGGGATTGACATTGGGATGCTTGAGAACCAGTTCCTATTTTCTGACGGTTGCAGAGCCTCCGGGTTAGTGATCCCCTTCGATGACCGTCTGAGAAGCAAAGTCAGTGAGGAAGCCAGATTGTTTAGTGACACGGTTGTTAAGTGAATCAGGCTTCCCCCTTGACTTTGCTTGTCAGAAGGTCACAAAAGGGGATCCCATGACCCCTGGGAGACTGCGACTGTCATCAGTATGAATCGGTTGCCAACCATCTGAATTTTGATCCCATGACCCTGGGGCTGCCCCAATGATTGGGTGAACGTTTTTTCAGTTGTAGCTTTGGATGGTCCCTAAATGAACTGCTGTAAGTCAAGGACTACCTGCACAGGTAGTCCTAGGCTCACACAACAGTTTATTTAATGAACTTTTTGAAGTTGCAATGGCACTGGAAACAGTGTCTTAGCAACATGTTTCACACTTACGACCACTGCAACATCCCCACGATCAGGTGATCAAAATGCGGACGCTTGGCAACTGACCCATAATTATGACGGCGGCAGTGTCCTGGGATGACGTGATCCCTTTTAGCAACCTGGTTTCTGACAAGCAAAGACTGGGGGGCAGGAGGGAGTCAGTTAGCAACTGGGTTACTAATTTAACACCTGCAATGATTTATTTAGCAAGAAAGGTCTTAAAAATGGGGCAGGTCTCACTTAGCAAATGTTTCGCTTCACAACAGAAATTATGGTTCTCAATTCAGAGGGGGTATTCGACAGATTCTGACCAGCTCTGGAGAACCACTAGCAGAAATTTCAAGTAGTTTGGAGAACCAGTAGTGGAAATTTTGAGTAGTTTGGAATACCGCCTCTGACTGGCCCCGCCCCCATCTATTCTCTACCTCCTGAGTCCCAGCTGATTGGCTGGGTCTCCTTTTGTTGCCCTGCATAGGAGAACGGAGCTGGAAAGCAGGTGAGTGGGGTGGGGAGGGAATGGACATTTTACAGTAACCTTCCCCCAAGGAGTGGGGAGGGAATGGGGATTTTGTAGTATCCTTCCCAGTGGTGGGAGTGAAAAATTTTGACTCCCAATTCTTTGGGTGTGGCTCGGTGGGCGTGGTGTGGCTTGGTGGGCGTGGCAGGGGAAGGATACTGCAAAATACTCATTCCCTCCCCACCCCACTAACCTGCTTTCCAGCTCCGTTCTTCTAGGCAGGGCAACAAAGAAGGACCCAGCCGATCAGCTGGGACTGGGGAGGTGGAGAATAGATGGGAGCGGGGCCAGTCAGAGGTGGTATTTGCCGATTCTCCGAACTACTCAAAATTTCCGCTACCGGTTCTCCAGAACTGGTCAGAACCTGTTGAATACCACCTCTGATCCTTCCCCTGCCATGCCCACCAAGCCACACCCACAGAACCAGTGGTAAAAAATACTGAATCCCACCACTGTCTCAATTGTGATTTTTAAGTCAAAGATGACCTGTATTGGAGAAGCCGTACCCACCATATTCTCGCTTATTAAAAGTTTGGGCACTGTTAGCTCAGTATTATACGGACAATCACTGTACCCCACTGCTTTGAGTCTTTTCCAACTTGCTTGGAGGGCGATATCCTGGCATCTTTCAACTTGGTTTATACGTTCCTGCCATCACTGTCCGTGGCAGCTGTGGATGATGGAAACTTGTAAGATAGATGGGGAACATTGCAAAAAAAAGCCAACAGCCCCAAACCCTTTCATCGCTGTTTCTGCATACGGTGGCATTCTTCGGCTGTGTAAAACCTCGCATTCGTGCCAACATGATTAATCACCATCACCAGCCTATTCTCCATAAGTATAACTACCATGTCTCGAGGCAGTGAATTTCATGAATTATACATTGTGTGAAGATATAATGCCAGTGAACCGCATCTATTGCTATTCAATTGATTGGTCGAACAAGGATTAAACTCTCGGTAGGGTGAGCGGGGGAGAGAGAGAAATTATGAAATAAATTTTAAAAATGAATATAGGAAAAAGATGAGGGGGAGGGAAATCTATCTACTTTCTTCGGAGCCGTGCATAATTATCCCAGACTGCAATTACGTTTTACCCTTTAGTTCCTAGCTGCTATGATTTATCCAGGGGTACTGTGCATGAGGAAATGGCTTAGTGGCCCATTAAATTTATTTATGTATTTCTTCGAGTTTTATCCCGCCTTTATTACTTTATAAGTAACTCAAAGTCAGCAAACATATATAACACTCCACCCTCTTCCTGTTTTCTCCACAGTAACAACTCTGTAAGGAGGGTTGGGCTGAGAGAGAGAGAGAGACTGGCCCAAAGTCACCCAGCCTAAGGTGGCACTAGAATTCACCTTCTGGTGATTGGCCCAAAGTCACCTGGCTGTCTTTCATGCCTAAGATGGCACTAGAACTCACCATCTCCTGGTGATTGACCTAAAGTCACCCGGCTGGCTTTCATGCCTAAGACGGGACTACAACTCACCATCTCCTGGTTTCTAGACCACTATCTTAACCGCTACACAAATTGGCCGTCCGAAGAGAGATGTCTATTATGAGCACAATGTTTGGGAAGTCAAAGTCAAATCATCTTTAAGGGCTGCTCTCGTAAAAATAGGTGGGACAAGGATGAAGAAGAAGGCCTCTTGATTGTGAATGCCTGCCTTGTCTTCAGCCAAATGTTGGTCCTACCTGATCCAAAGAGACCCCCAAGGGTACTTCAGGGACCAGAAATGCAGAACATCCTCCACTGGAAAAATCTGTCAGAATGACAGATGCAGATTACTTTTCCTCAAATGTCCATAGCAGAAAGGGTAGAAAAGTTACATTAGGTTGTATCCTTGTGTGCGATGGACAGCTATGGTCTCTGTTGCTTGCCGTTTCTTACTGTGCCTTTCCATTTCCTATCATTGCTGATCTCTCATTCTTTCCTACCACCAACGTCTGTTTCAACTGAAAAGATCTTCATTTGCATTTCTACAGTAACATACAGTAAGATCATTCTCCTGTTATGACACAACAGACCTATTTTGGCCATTAAGAAACTTAGAATAACGAGTTAAACAGGATTAGGCGATTGAAGGCTAAAACATATGAAGAACAGTTGCTGGAATTGGCTATGTCTAGTGAAAAGAAGGACTAGGGGTGAGATGATAGCAGGGTGCCAATATCTAAGGAGCTGCCACAAAGAAGAGGGAGTCAAGCTATTCTCCAGAGCACCTGAAGGCAGGACAAGAAGCAATGGATGGAAAGTAATCAAAGAGAGAAGCTATCTAGAACTAAGGAGAAATTTCATGACAGTTAGAACAATTAATCAGTGGAACAACTTGCCTTCAGAAGTTCTGGATGCTCCAACACTAGAAGTTGTTAAAAAGATGTTGGATAACCATTTGTTTGAAGTGGTGGAGGGTTTCTTGCCTGGGCAGGGGGTTGGACTAGAAGACCTCCAAGGTCACTTCCAACTCTGTAATTTTGGATTTGGATTCAGAACAGCCACCCACGATTAATAATTCTCCTGTAGTTGATGGATTTTGAAGAAGGGCTGTTTCTTCAGTATTGGAAAAGGTAGAAAGTCACCTGGCAAAGATTTAGCTTGTTGGCTCATTTTTACTAAGCTTTCATTCCCTAAGGAAATGATCTCCCATAAGGGATTGAGATAGTATAAGTTCTAGCATCCACAAGAACCAACACAGTTAGTAATTAAGATGTTGGATTATTCAAGTCCATTTTGTAGAGAATAAAGATGATTTTCATGGACACAAGCCAGATCCAATCCCAGGGGGAAAAACCCAAATTCAAAAACACTCTTTAAAAAAAGGATGAAAAAGCTCAGACAGACATCACCTTGGTTTCACAGGTGTATAGTGTGGAGAGAAATAAAGAGACATCACTTAAAAGATTCTTTTACTACAGCCAGTATAGTAAAGCAATTTTAACCTCCTTTGGAGTTACTTTCTTGCTCTGGCCTACCTGATAGAACCAACTTTTAGCCATGGATGACTTTGGGACTCTCAAACTCTCCCAGTCCAACTTATGTTAAGACGGCTTGATTGAATCAAAGCTATCAATTTAGTAAACACAAACAAATAAATCTGAGAGCACACTATTTTGTGAAAGTCTGGAAATTGGATAACCAGTAGCTGTGTTGTAGGATTTCACAGGGATTGAGGCCAGAATGTTTTGCATGCAATCATCATCATCATCTTCTTTTTAACAACCCCATAATCCCTTCCAAAGTGGAGTCTGGGCAACTGAATGTTTACTGGCCAGATGCCCTTCCTGTCACCAGTGCAAAGTTTCATTCAGCAGATATATTCTCAGTGTGCCCAGAGAGAGAAATATCTACCTCTACCTAGGATCGAACTCACAGCCTCCTGATTGTGAGGAGAGAGCTTCACCCCTAGGCCACCGCACGACCCAATCATTTGCACGCGATGCCTTCTGTGGAATTGCTGGTATCCTGTCTAAAATCCTATCTATCTTCTCTTCCCTTTTCAGTATAAAACAGAGGGCTCTACTGTGACGAGTTACTGTAACGAGACTCTACCAGGCTGGGTGCATGATGTCCTGGGCCGTAATTGGGCTTGTTTCACTGGATTCAAGGTCTCATCTTCAGGTCCCCAAGTTCGTGTCCATCAACTGCCTCCTTGGAAGGCCTTGAGAAGGTGAGTCTTGTTTAGCAAAGCGGCACAGAAGACCTACCTGTCCTGTTGTAATTCAGAAGAGTGCAGTCGACTCAACTGGTTTTCCTTCACGCCGCTGTAGCAACAGTGATTCCACACACACCCAATTTCAGTTAAATGTCTCCTCAGCAGACAATCATCGTAGTCTAATACAGGGGTGTCAAACTCAATGTCATTGAGGGCCGCATCTGTTGTATATTATACCACTGTTAATGTCTAAGTCTCTGTGTGCTGTGTTTTGCTCCTGGGTTAAAGGAGGTTCTTGTCCCATAAAGATAGTCATGCTGCCGAACACTCAGACAAAATTGTTTCAACTCCTACCCTCAAAACGACACTATAGAGCCCTGCACACCAGAACATAAAGACATAAGGACAGTTTTTTCCTGAACGCCATCACTCTGCTAAACAAATAATTCCCTCAACCTTGTCCAACTATTTATAAAGTCTGCACTACTATTACTATTAATCTTGTCATGATTCCTTATCACCGATCCCCTCCCAGTTGTGACTGTATCACTGTAACTGTTGTCGCTTATATCCTTACGATTTATACTGACTGTTTCCTAATAAGATTTGGTTGCTTTTTGTACCCTATGACTATTATTAAGTGTTGTACCTTACGATTCTTGACTCTTGACGAATGTATCTTTTCTTTTATGTACACTGAGAGCATTTGCACCAAGACAAATCTTTTGTGTGTCCAATCACACTTGGCCAATAAAAAATTCTATTCTATTCTATTCTATTCTAAGTTAGGGGGCTGAATTTGGGTATAGTTAGGTTGTAATTGTAAAAACTGGGCTTCAATTAAGTAACTGACAACGTCTTCTGTCCAGAATTCAGCAGAGGTTCTACGTGACCAACTATGATTTTGTGAAAGCCATCAATGCTGTTCAGAAATCGTGGAGAGCAACTGCCTACAAGGAATATGACGGGCTTACTTTACAGGACCTCGTTTGGAGAGCTGGAGGATTGAGATCCAAAGCTCCCAGGTAAAGCAAGTTACTTGTCAATGAGTAGATTTAGGGAAAAAGATGGTGCCGTGGAGCCCAGAGACATTTTTTTATCTTGACTCCTGACTTATTTCATGGTTTCCAACAAGGTGATGGTGTTCAATGTCCAGATAAACAAAAGAAAAGATTGTGGATTGTGCGTATCTTCAAGAGCAACCCTAAATTGCATTAACAGAGAGATACAATCGAGATCAAGTGAGGTACTAATACCCCTCTGTAAAGCCTTAGTAAGACCATACCTAGAGTCCTGCATCCAGTTTTGGTCACCGCACTATAAAAAAGATGTTGAGACTCCAGAAAAAGTACAGACGAGCAACTAGGATGCTTAGGGGACTGGAGGCTAAAACATATAAAGAACGGTTGCAGGAACTGGGCTTGGCTAATTTAGTGAAGAGAAGGACAAGGGGAGACATGATAGCAGTCTTCCAATATTTGAGGTGCTGCCACAGAGAGGAAGGGGAGAGGAATTTTCCAAAGCACCCGAAGACCAGAGAAAGAATAATGGGTGGAAACTGAACAAGGAGAGGTTCAACCTGGAAATAAGGAGAAACTTTCTGACAGTGAGAACAACCAACCAATGGGACAGAAGTTGCCCTCAGAAGTTGTGGGAGCTTCGCCACTATAAGCTTTCAAGAAGAGATTGGACTCCCATCTGTCAGAAACGGTGTAGGGTCTTCTGCTTGGGCAGGGGGTTGGACTAGATGACCTACAAGGTCCCTTCCAACTCTGATTATCTGTTACCTATTACATCTTTTTTCTGGAGAAAAGAATAGGTATAGCAAGCCTTGTCAACTACATTTATGTACATTTTAATCTTTGAAGGGACTTTGGAGGTCTTCTAGTCCAACCTCCAGCTCAAGCAGGAGACCTTACTCTATTCCAAGACAAAGGGCTGTCCATTCTCTTCTTAAAAAGTCCTAGTGATGGAGCATCCACAACTTCTGGACGTAAGCTGTTCCACTGATTGTTCTGCCGGGAAATTTCTCCTTAGTTCTTGCTTGCTTCTCTCCTTGATTAGTTTCCATCCATTGCTCCTTGTCTTGCCTTCTGGTGCTTAGGAGAATAGCTTGACTCCCTCTTCTTTGTGGCAGCCCCTGAGATATTGGAACACTGTTATCATGTCACCCCTGATCCTTCCTTTCATTAATTTAGACATACCCAGTTCCTGCAACTGTTCTTTATATGTTTGACTTCACTTTACTTTATTGTCATTGCACCTCGTACAACGAAATCAAACACCATCTTCAGTACACATCATGACCATGACCATGAAAATAAACACAAACACACATCCTTCACCCTTCACACATTGAACCGGACCCCACCAACACCACACCAACACTGCACTATACAGTAGAATTCAACAGAGCTACTGCCCTGGGATAGAAGCTGTTCTTCAGCCTATTTGTCCTTGTTTTTATTATCCTGTACTGTCTGCCAGATGGTAATAGTTCAAAAAAAGGGTGCCCAGGATGAGATGGATCTTTGAGAATGTTTTGAGCTTTCTTAAGGCAGTGGGAGCTATAAAGCTCTTCCAAAGAGGGGAGAGGGCAACCAGTGATCTTCTGGGCAATGACATTAACCCTCTGGAGTGCTGTCCTATCTGCCCTTGTGCAATTGGCAAACCATACACAGGTGCAGTATATTAAAATGCTCTATATGGTGTAGCGGTAGAAGGTCACCCACAATTTTTCATTTGGTTGTTGTTTTCTGAGAAGTCTCGGGTAGTATAATCTCTGCTGGGCCCTTTTGACCAAGGCTGCAATGTGGGCACCCCAGTCCAGGTCCTCTTTTAGGGTAGGACACAGAAACTTAAAACTGGCCAATTGCTCCATTCAGTCTCCCTTGATAAGCAAGGGCTGGATGTCTGATCTGTTCCTTCTATAATCCACTATAAACTCCTTGGTCTTATTGATGAGGATCAAGTTATTGTCTCCACACCACGAAAGAAACCAGTCCATCTCATCTCAGTAGGCAGACTCATCCCCCGCCCCCCAAAGAGATTAAGTCCCACCACTGTTGTATCATCTGCAAATTTTGCAAATTTTAGCCTACAATCCCCTAATCACTTCAGATAGAGGTACTCAAGAAGCTACTTAGCATTAAGTAGGCAATAACAAAGCTCAGTCATCATCTACTCACTAACCACTGGTGAAGTTTTTTTTTTCTTTTTCATGCCTGAAACACGTACTTGAGCACATGTGAAGGTGGGGGAATCATTCCGTGGGATGGAGGCATTCATTATCATTTCAGTTCCTTGGTCTTTGCAGCTCAACTCTATCTGTAGCGGAGGCAGTTTTGTGGTTGTGGTATTGCGCTGTTCAAAATCATCCCATTGCTTTAAGCATTCCACAGTCATTTTAAAAAGAAATGCTTGTGACCAGCGTTACACTCCTTGTTGGGAGCCATGTTCAATTTTGCTAAGGGCTTCTTACTTTAGCCTCTAAAATGAAGTGCTTACTCGGGAGGGCAAAAGTGCTGATAATCTTCCTTTATAGCTTTGTTGTGATTTTATTTTACCTCCGCCTATAACAAGAGAATTCCTCTGGGAAACTCTTGAAAGGAGTTTATCGCTACACTAGTAAGACCTCAGACAAAGCGACGCAAAGCTCATAGCAATTAATTGTTCCATTTGGCAGACTTGAAAAATGCCAAGGTACACATTGGAGGGCGGGGTGGAGGGGAGTTAGGGGTCTAATGGTTAAGACATTGGATTTGTCGACCGGAAGGTCAGCAGTTCAAGACCCGAGCACTACATGATGGAGTGAGCTCCCAGTATTTGCCCCAATGCCCCAGCTCCTGCCAATCCCGCAATTTGAAAGCATGCAAATGCGAGTAGATAAATAGGTACCAACCCTAACCTATGCTAAGACGGGGATAGCAACAGTAATACATATTTATTCCATGTAGACACAAGAGGCTGTTAGTATCATTTCACCTGTTGGATTGGAAAAGCATGTAATAAGCCACAAGCCAGAACTGAATATTAATAGGGCATTTCCGACTTGTTTTGTTTTAGTATTGGAACATTTAAAGGATAGAGATGCTGAGAAAGCAAAAGGTTGAAGGAAAAAATTAAAAATGATTGAACTAGTGGGGTGATGGTACTATTTTCACGTAACAATAGCACTTAGACTTATATACCATTTCACAGTGCTTTACAGTCCTCTCTAAGTAGTTTACAGAGTCAGCCTATCGCCCCCCAACAATCTGGGTCCTCATTTTACCGACCTCTGAAGGGTGGAAGTCTGAGTCAACCTTGAGCTGGTTAAGATCAAACTGCTGACTGTGGGCAGAGTTAGCCTGTATTTTAGCCTCTGCACCACCACAGCTCTTAGTATGACTATGTGTTGTTTTATTTTCTTGATGCTTTGAATTGAGACAAGTATTTATAGATTTTTAGGGGGCGCGATGGCTCAGCAGTTAAAAGATACTGAGCTTGTCAATCTGACAGCTTGGGTTTGAGACCTGAGCGCTGTGCAATGGAGTGAGCTCCCATTCCTGCTTTGGCTCCTGCAGTTCAAAAGCATGCACATGTGAGCAGATAAACAGGTACCACTGTGGTGGGAAGATAACAGTACTCTACACTTCGGCGTATAGACTTGCCGACCACATAACCACCAAACTATCTTTGGACAATGCTGGCCTAGGGGATGGGGAGATGGGGATGAACACTGCCCCCTAGTGTCAGACCTGATTGGACAGAGGAAACTGTTGTGGTCCACCGGCAATCTGCGGAGAAAGCAGCAGAAGCAGACAGTGAGGAGGAACTTGGGCCAGTCCAGGACTCTGCGTCCAATACAGAGATGGGGCCAGGGCCATTGGGGAATGATGTGCTGACTCCGGAGCCTCCGGAATCTGACAGTAGCAAGGCAGAGGAACAAGGGGAGCCTGTTCTCAGTGCGCACATGTGCAGAGCTGCCAGAAGGCAAGAGCAGCTAAGACAAAAGGGACAACTTGGGAGTAAGGTGATTGGCCTTATTGGCCTTGGAGGTGATTGGCCCTCCCATAAGAAATAAAGGAGGAGCAAAGGGACATGGACCTTTGCAGGAAGCAACTTTGTACTGATCGGTTTGAAACCTGAAGCTCTGTGTTGAATTTGTGCTCCAGTTGGCCTTGTATAACTAATTGGAAATTTAGTTGTTGGCAGCATTTCAAGGAAGATAAAGGTGGGTGCTTATCAGACTTATCCTGAAAGACTTTAGCAGACTTCCATGGAACTATTACAAACTGTTTGAGACTCATTACGGGCTGTGAATGACTAAAATTCACAGCCATTGAAATAAAGAAAAAAAGGGTTTTGGGACTAACATGTGTTTTTGTTAGTGTCTCAATAAGCCTTGGTCAGAACAGAAACCTTTACTTTTTAATGCCCACATTCCTTTCATTTCTTGTAGACCCAAACCTGCGGCCCCCACTTCGGAAATACTCAAAGAAGCTTCCAATCTACCAAAATCCTGGGACTGGAGAAATGTGAATGGTGTTAATTACGTCAGTCCAGTACGAAACCAAGGTGAGTTCAATTTTCTTCAGCCCTGTTAGACTTAACTGTGTTGCAACGCTTTTACCACACACACAAAAAAATATCATGGAGTTCCGTGGTTTGGTTTGTGTGCCTGTGCAGTTGTGTGTTTGGGATAATTATCAGCCTCATGAAAAACACTGTGAATAACAGTAAAAAAAAAGCGGGGGAGCTTATATGTTCATTTCTGGCAATGTTAGTCTGTAAGTGGCAGAGACAATTCAGCTCTAAATAGCATATTTACTGTGTTGGAAGTATGCGGTAGACTGGAGATAATATTAGTGATTTTGTTCTGACCCAGGAATCAGATTGCCACATCCCAATTTCTTCTCCCCTCTCTTATACTTTTCATTTGTCCTTTATCATATACCTAGACATAGTAGGACCATATTATAAATTATTTTAGTGGCAGAATCATGGCATCCGGCCCTCTCAATTCCTGGCAAATAAATGGGGGAAGAAATGAAGGTAGTGAAAGATTTTATTTTCCTGGGCTTCAAGATCACCACAAATGGGGACTGCAGCCAAGAAATTAAAAGACGCTTGCTCCTGGGGAGGAAAGCTATGGAAAAGCTAGACAGCATACTAAAAAGCAGAGACATCACCCTGCCAACAAAAGTGCGTATAGTCAAGGCTATGTTTTTCCCAGTGGCAATGTATGGCTGTGAAAGTAGGACCGTAAAGAAGGCTGAGCGCCAAAGAATGGAGGCCTTTGAACTCTGGTGCTGGAGAAGACTCCTGCGATTCCCTTGGACTTCAAGGCAATCCAACTGATCAGTCCTAGAGGAGATCCACCCTGACTTGCTCTTTAGAAGGCCAGATCCTGAACTTGAAACTCAAAAGACTTTGGCCACCTCATGACTCACTGAAGAAGACCCTAATGCTGGGAACGGCAGAGAATGAGAGGGCTGGATGGAGTCACTGAAGCAGTCGGCATGACTCCAGAAGATGGTCGAGGACAGGAAGGCCTGGAGGAACGTTGTCCATGGGGTCGCGATGGGTCAGACACGACTTTGCAACTAACGACAAAAGTGGCATGTCATTTTTTTGAGTAGGGAAAATGTGTTTTCCTCCTGGTTGTTCACACCTTTTTTTCCCTCAAGGGGCAATTTGGCTTCTAAATATCCCCCTCAGTCCGTGGTGTCCTTCCTTTTGTTAAGGTACCTGGAATAAGTCTTTGGTGAGAGAAAAGCACAATTTAGCTGCCTTTAGGCCAGCAGGAAACGGCATTGTTCCACCACAACATTTTGTCAGGTTTCAAAAACTCTGACTCAATTACCAGAAATTCCAGTGGCGAAGCAGAAGAGGCTGAATAAACGTATTTTGCCTTTCCTTGTGTTGCTAAGCAGCTGATAGCAGCAACAGCAGCATTTCAGGACTCCTAAAAAGGATGGGGTGTTAGGCAGGCCTCTTAGCGCAGTTAAGTGTATTTTACTTTGTTTATTGCAGAAAAAAAATCTAGTGCCCACGTATCCGTTCAGAGTGTAAGAGACCTGTAGAGCAGGTTTGGACAAATGGTTAAGGCACCAGGCAAGAAACTAGGAGACCGGGAGTTTTAATACTACTACTCTGGCATGAAAACAGGGTAACTTGTTTGGGCCAATCCAGGGGTGGGATTTGAATTTTTTAACAACCGGTTCTGTGGGCGTGGCTTAGTTGGTGGGCGTGGCTTGGTGGTCATGTTATTGGCTGGGCGTGGCCAACTCAACATCACTCACATCGAGGCACGCATCTCCTCGCCTGGCCACTCATGACTGTGGGGATGCTGCAACAGTCGTAAGTGTGAAAAATGGTCATAAGTCACGTTTTTCAGTGCCATTGTAACTTTGAATGGTCACTCCACACAAGCAAAGTACCAGCAAAGGAGGGGGAAAAAACTCCAGAGAGGTTCCAGAGACAGGAAGTCTAGTCCTGCCAAGAATGTAATAAGGGTTAACGGAGAGGCAGTTTCTGTAAGCAACACCAGAATGTTTCCTTCCTGCCTTCCTTACAGGATTAGCCCTGTGATTTCTTCTAACAACCAGTTCTCCAAACTGCTTAGAATGTTAACAGCCGGTTCTAGCAAATAGGTGCGAACCTGTAGAATCCCACCCCTGGGCCAATCCTCAAGAGACTGTGAAGTCTCATCCTGTTTTAGGCATGAAAGCCAACTGGGTGATATTCTCTTTATTCTCTCTTAGTCCAACTCATCTCTCAAGGTGATTGTTGTTTTTGTGGGGGGGAAATAGGAGGAAGAAGGAATATTACATACATTCTCTGACTTGAATTGTTTACTTAAAAGGGGGGGATATAAATAAATAAAATAGAGGAAATTGTTATTTAGTTCAATTAAAAAGACTTAGAACAGGGGTGGGCAAACTTTTTGGCTCGGGGGCCTCATTGACTTTTAAAATTTGACAGACGGGCTGCCACCTGGTGTCGAAATGCCTGTCATTACAAGTCAAAATCAAATGAATGCAATCATTCAATCATTCACATCAAACCTTAATTCTGTACCAATCTTCGGCGGGCCGGATTCAAAAGACCAACGGGCCGGATGTGGCCCTCGGGCCGTAGTTTGCCCACCCCTGAATTAGAAGGTTTTTCCTGCTCTTCCTCTTCCCCCCTCCCTCCCTCTCTCTTTCTCTCCCTCTCCCTCCATCCCTGTCTGTCTGTCCCTCCCTCTGTCTCTTTGTCTCCTCCTCCCCCTCTCTCTCCGTCTCCCTCCTTCTCTTTCTTTCTCTTTCTGTCTTTCCCTCCCTCTCTCTCCCCCTCTCCTCCTCCCCTCTTTCCCTCCCTCTCTCTCCCCCTCTCCTCCTCCCCTCTTTCCCCCTCTCCCTCCTTCTCTTTCTCTCCCTCTCTGTTTCTCCCTCCCTCCTTCTCTCTTTCTCTCCTTCTCTTTCGCTCTCTTTCTGTCTCTCCCTCCCTTTCTCTCCCTCTCTCCCCCTCCCTCCCTCTCTCTTTCTCTCCCTCTCTTTCCTTCTCCCTCTCTCCCCCTCTCCCCCAACTCAGAGCTAAGGAGTTTCTGGTTTCAAAGGAGCTCGGTGGTTGGCTGACCTTATTCCTGCATTCTTCTCCACAGCCTCCTGCGGCAGCTGCTATGCGTTTGCCTCGATGGGCATGCTGGAAGCCAGGATCCGCATCCTCACCAACAATTCCCAGACTCCAACCCTGAGCCCTCAGCAAGTTGTTTCCTGCAGTGAATACTCCCAAGGTAAAGTAGGGTGGGTGGCATCTGGATTTTTTGGGGAAACAAAAACAACAACAACCTTGGGGGCCATTTTGAATGGACCATCGACTGAAGGTAAGCAGTAGATAAGGATAGGGAGGCCAATGCCTGCCCATCATGTTGGTACATGTATAGAGGCGGTAAACTTTCTAGCATGCAAGAACAAAACAACTGGTACGTAGAACTTCTTAATCAAGTTGACCATTGTGATGGAGGTAGGTATTAGAGCCATTTTGGATTGAGGTTGGAAGACAAGCTTCAAAACGCCTAGATCACAGGTGTCAAACTGGTGGCCTGCGGGCCAGATGCATCACGCGCAGGCCACGCTTACCCCATGGGGAATGGGGAAAACGTTACAAAACATCACGTGAAGACAGTGTGACACCACGCATTTGACCCCCGTGATCTAGAGGTAGAAATGAGCACCTGCCTGCAACTCATTAAAGCAGCCATGTCTGTCTCTTGGATTTTATTCATTTACTGATTCGATTTCTATGCTGCCCATCTCACCAATAAAGCCAACCTGGAAGGCCTAGAAATGGTTAAAAAAAAAAAGATTAAATTAAAATTCAGAAGAGTGACATTAAAAAACTAGCTCAGTTCCCGCCCTTTGCTATGAAACTATGTAGTCGGGCTTACTTTTCGGGGAGGAAAATAAGGGGGGGAAATTATCCTTCTGCCTACCAGCATCCATCGGTAGTCATCTGGCTAGCGTCCTGTCAGTGTGTGAGAGAGTTGAGGGCTGTTTAGAAACTCAAACAGCATTTGCTGTGTGAGCAAGGAGACAGCAAGGAGCCTGGGCTTGGCTTAACTCAGTTGTTCTGTACTAAAATTGTTTGGTGCTGTGAAACTAAAACTGAAACGAAACTCCTCTCCTCTGCTTGTGTTTTGCATTTGGAACAGATTTCTTTTCAGGTGGGGAGGGGGAGTAGAACTCCTTAGCATCAGAGCGTGTTAATAATAATAATATAGGAAATATTAATGCTCTGATAGTCATTTTGAAAAATCCTTTCTTAGTGAGCACCTAGAAGCCAAGAGGAACATACGTGCCAAATTTCAAGTTTGTAGGCTTTACGGTTCTGGAGATTTTGTGATGATGCGTGAGTGGTATTTCGCTTTTATATCTATATAGATTAAAACCAAGAAGATAGATGGTATGGGGTGAGATCTTTTTAACCTCATCAGCAGGAGCTGTGTTCCTCGTCCTACTTGATTATGAACCATGGGCTGATGTTCAGTCATGGATAATATAAATGTCTATTTAGATTCTCCATCATCCAGGCCATGGTTGTCCCAAAAGCCAAGTGGACTTTTCTTGATATTTTTCCCCCTGAAAACATTTCAGGTCTCATCCATGAAGCTTCTTCAGTTCTGAAGATCCGATGAATCTTCGTGGATGAGAGTTGTCTGTGGAGATTGTTAGTCATCCAGGTCATAGTTGTCCCAAAGGTGCTTTTTCAAGAGGCAACTGGACTTTCTTATTATTCTTTGAAGACATTTTGCTTCTCGTCCAAGAAGCTTCTTTGTGGATGAGATGCAAAAGGTTTTTAAGGAAAAACCCAAGAGAAGTCCATTTGCCTTTTGAAAAAACACCCTGCTGGTTTTCAAACATCTTTCCCACTATCAACTCTGACTCCTTAGTCAGCAGGTACTAAAGTAGAATAGAAGAATTGAATGAAAGTAGAATAGAATAGAATAGAATAGAATAGAATAGTTGGAAGGGACCTTGGAGATCTTCTAGTCCATCCTCCTGCTCAGGCAGGAAACCCTACACCATTTCAGTCAAATGGTTGTCCAGAGTCTTCTTAAAAATGTTCAGTGTTGGAGCATCCACAACTTCTGGAGGCAAGTTGTTCCACTGACTAATTGTTCTAACTGTCAGGAATTTTTTTCTTAATTCTAAGTTGCTTCCCTCCTTGATTAGTTTCCACCCATTGCTTCTTGTCCTGCCCTCAGGTGCTTTGGAGAATAGCTTGACTCCCTCTTCTTTGTGGCAGCCCCTGAGATACTGGAACACTGCTATCATGTCACCCCTAGTCCTTCTTTTCATCAATTTAAGAATAACCGAAGTTCACCTGAAAACACCCGAGGACAGGAATGGAAAGACAAAAACTAGAGAGTGATGACCTTACACATTCTTATATCCCTGTTGATTCAAGTTTTCATTCTGAAAGATGCTTGCAGGAATTTAGCTTTCCAGGAATTATTATTATTTATGATTTCTTCCCTTTTTTTAGGTTGTGATGGTGGATTTCCTTACCTCATCGCTGGAAAATACCTGCAGGATTTTGGCATTGTTGAGGAGGCCTGCTTTCCTTACAAAGGCATGGATTCCCCCTGCACTCTTAGGAGTGACTGTTACCACTACTACACCTCCAACTATCACTATGTGGGTGGGTTTTACGGGGGCTGCAACGAAGCCTTGATGAAACTGGAGCTCATTAAGCACGGACCGATGGCTGTGGCTTTCGAAGTCTATAATGACTTCATGCACTACTCGGGAGGAATCTACCACCACACAGGTCTGATGGATCCTTTTAACCCTTTCGAGCTGACCAATCACGCCGTTTTGCTCGTGGGGTACGGCAGCGATCCCCATTCTGGCGAGCCGTTCTGGATCGTGAAGAACAGTTGGGGAACCTCTTGGGGTGAAGATGGTTATTTCCGGATCCGGAGAGGCTCTGACGAATGCGCTATAGAGAGTATAGCAGTGGCTTCTACACCTATACCTAAAATATAATTGTGGGATTATCTCAGAAGGCCTCTGTCCACCCTAGAAGTGCAATGAATGTTCCTTACAGCTAGTCCTTGACTTATGACCGCAATTGAGCCATTTCCTTTGCTAAGCAAGATGGTTCAGTGAGTTTTGTCCCAGTTTATGGCCTTTTCCCCCCCCACTATTAAGGGATCACTGCCATTTTAACATGGTTGTTAAATGGATTCTCCATTGACTTTGCTTATTAGAAGGTTGCAAAAAGTGATCACATGACCCCGGACGTTGCAACCAGCATAAATACATGCCAGTTGCCTAGTGTCCGAATTTTGATCTTGTGATTACTCGGAGATGCAATGATCCCAAGTGTAAAAACAATCATAAGTCATCTTTTTCTGTGCCGTTGTAACTTTGGACGGTCACTAAACAAGTTGCTGTAAATCGAGGACTCCCTGTATGTATTGAGAAAATTGAACGGCCTTGCGTTCCCTGCTTACAAGGCAAGTTTGGTTTTGCCATTTTTCAGACTGTGTTAAAATGAAAGCCATAATGATTAGAAGATAGAATCAAAGGATGGTTGACTCATCCAACCACTCTGATTCAGATCAGCAATAATTTGGGAGGAAGGAACTTTGACAATAGATTCATGTTCTTAACTTTCAAGCCACAATTGGCAACCATGATTGGAAGCAAGCTTACTCATCGTGATCGGTGTTTTTTCGGCTTGGAGTGATAAAATGGCCAATCATGATTGACACTCTTCTATTTCTATATGATTAAAATAGACTTGGGGAATGCTAGTTTGGAATGGAAGCGCAACTGTGACCTTATGTTTTCAACCATGGCTAGTCCGTGAAGGTTCTCAATCATCCAGGTCAGGGTTGTCTCAAAGGTGCTTTTTCCAAAAGGCAACTGGATTTCTTGTGGGTTTTTTTTCTTTGAAAATGTTTTGCTTTCCATCCAAGAAGCACCTTCAGTTCTAACATTTAGAACCAGAGAATTAACATTTAGAACTAACTCAGTTCTAAACTGAACCGAGTTATAACTGAAAAAGCTTCTTGGATGGAAATATTTTAAAATAGAAAACCAAAGAAAGTTCTGTTGCCTTTTGGGGAAAAAAACATACCTTTGGAGCATGGATCATGTACCTGAAAATTTCTTAACCACATTAATCAGCTTTCGGAGGATAAAGTGGTACACCCCGTATTTTCTCCCCATGGAAGAAAATGGTATATTTTAATGTTTACAATCTAGCTATCAATTCAATTACAATGTATGAAAACTGAATATTAAGTGTGTTATTCTCCCACACTTTCTTTCCTTGTTCAGCTGCCTTTTTTCCGCCTTTGATTTTTTTTCCTGAAATATTTTTCTAATCTGCAATAGTATTTTTTTAATTGCTGTGCCTTAACAAAAGAAATGAAGAAACTTGAATATAGAAGGGAATGTCTTGCATGCAAAATGATTATACTTTACTGTGATTTTTTGTGTGTGTAAAAAAAGGGAAAGTTATAAGTATCTTTTGAACCAAATACCTGGGATGACAACATTCATTTGATCCACAATTTGAGCAGTGCAGTAGAACCTTATTGTTTCTTTCTTTTGAAGATCATCGGGGTTTTTTAAATATATATAATTCTGAAATAAAGAAATGTTTCACTGTTGCCTTGGGAGTTCTTTAAATAAAGCTTTCTTATTGCCTCTTTTAAGACTCAGTGGGAGGTTGGAGAAGGGACATGATTATTTTGTGTGGGAACCACAGAGAGCTGCTTCAGTGGAATGACATTTTTTAAAGCGTTTTTCTTCCTTGCAATACACCATCTAACAAAATTTGGGCCTTTAATGCAATTTCTTCCTAAAGCATCATAAATTCAGATGTTGTATAGTCAATATGATTGGGGTATAACCTGTGATGACCCGGGGCGTGGCACAAAAGCAACGAAGTCTCAAAAGTAGGTAAAGTCCCTTTAATACCTCCAGCTTGGCCCCCAATGTCCAGTTATCTTCGACTGGAGAAAAAACTCTCCCAAGAGCAGTTTTTAAAAGGAAGAAATTCAGTCCGAACCCAAAGTACATATAAATTAGAAATAAAAAACCAACACAAACCATGCTGCAGCAATTAAGAGGACAGGGCAGGATAAGGAATTGCAGACTTCAAAAAATAACGAAACACAAGTTGGGAGGGCGCCAGAACCCAGATAAGCCTTGACAAACAAAGATAATGCAGGCTTTGCTTCCAGCAAGGTGCTGTGCGCAAATGCCCTTTTTAAACAGTGTTCCCAGCTGCAGCTAATGAAGGGAATCAGGGCCCTTTTCTCCCCCGTAACTCACGTTGCTCCCATCTCCATTCCTCCCTGTGTGCCCTAGGATGAAGAGGGGGTGGGCCTGGGTCTTCCTCTGAATGCCCAACTGGACTGTGCCCTTCCCCAGTTTCTTCCACAGCCATCGGAGTCACACTCCCACTCTCTTGTCAGCTGCTTGGCCTCCCCCTCCGAATCAGATTCCAACAAGGGCATGACACCTGCCTTGAGAGATAGACCAATCTCACCAGAGATAAACAAAACCAAACTTTTTTTAAAAAAAGAAAAATGTTGAAATGTACAGAACATAACTCAAGCTGTTGAATGAGGAGAGGTGATGGTGGTGAGTAGATTTGAGTTACAAAAAAAAAAAAATCCCCATTAAAAAAAGAGGCCCATTGCAAATCACGACTAAAACTTACTATATATCTCCCTGTATACAAATAGCAGTACTAGAGGGATAACTTTATCTGAGTGTTGGCTTATATCCTTCTTAGGTTAGGCACAGAGATAAATAGCATCTCCACAGCATTAAAAGGGGACAATTCAAAGCTAGAAAGGCGAACACGTCTCCAGCAGCCAACCCTCAGTTAAGCAGTGAGTTCTTTATAAAAATAAAATTAAAGGCAGGATAAAAATACAAAGTAATTATGTAATGCTTGGATTTTGCTTCCAATTGCACATTTCCCTTTGCAATAGGCCGTTTAAATATAGTAACCAATCTTACCCAATTTTTAGATAATCAGCTGCAATTCCTCTTCCCTTCCTTAGGGCTTCTAAGATAAGATACCCTGGGGTTTGAACTCCGAGTAGATCAATAATAGCAAGAGTAGCCATCTACTGTAGTTGTGCAGAGAAAACAATTGCAATGAATAAACTGGACAGTGAAATCACATTAAGTCTCAACTGTGGGAAAATAAAATGCAATATATATTTCCTCCCTATAATGTGTGCTGAGAATTGTGGGGGAAAGGTTGATTAAATGATTTGCAACCAATTGCAGGTCTGCCTTTATATCACTCAGGATCTGATTTTATTAAAAGATAACACAATGTATTTTTTTGCAACTGTTTGTAGAAGTCATAGCTTTGTTGGGCAATTTTTTTGAGCCACCGGTCTCAATGTCATAGAGGAACAGAATTCATACAAACAATGGTATGTTTGTTCTGATCAAATCCAGTTTTGCCAAAGGAATTTTCAACATTAATTTTTATGTATGGTCTCCACATCAGAACATTTGGGTTTATGGGACTTAATGAACACAGACAAATCAGGCAGCTTCTGGATCATGCGATCTACTTAATTGAACCAAGTGACGAACAAAAATGTTCAGGATACCAACAAGATTCCTACATTTGTGGTGTTTTATAAAAACCCTTCATGGACATAATCCTACAAATTACCCAAGAGATGCAGTTGCAACATGGATGCAGTGAGGCCATGCTACCTGCCAATCTGTCAGTACAGGTATTCCTCAACTTGAGCCCAAAATTTGTGTTGTTAAGTGAGACATTTGCTAATTGTGATGTTAACTTGAGGACTGCTACGTTAAACAAATGGCTGAAAGTTTAGGACTGCATGTAAAGTTTACTCAAAGCTGGAAAAGCTATGCAAGAATTGAGAAAGAGGGGGAAAGGCGGGTAGAACTAAATTAGGTTTAATGCATACACAGCAAACATTGCATATTTAAAGCATGCGTATAGGGCTAGCTGAATAAGGAGGAAAAATGTATTTCTAGCATGTAAACTGCACATACGACAAGAATTTTCCAGATTTTCTTGAATGTTTTTGGTATGTAATTAGATCCCATAGAAGGATCCTGGAATGTATGAGGCCCAGAGGCGGACTGGCTGTATACACTTAATGACAAGAAAATGCAATCAATACTTATTCAACAGTGAGGCTATAAATACTTCGGTGTTTTTTTAAAAAAATGCTCACAGTCTCCTTGTTGACAAATGCAAGGAATGGCAAGAAACTCTCATTAGTATTTTTTTCTCTCTACATCTGGCTGATGTCCCCTTTCCAGCATGTGCAACCAGAATCCGTTTTCCAAGCCCAGCCTGTGGGAAACGAAGCCTATTCTTTATTTAACTAAGCCTGCCTGAAATATTTCTAAATTAAGATGCACTAAATTGCAACTTGTTCCTCAGTGCAGGGGGAAAAGGGAGGAGACACAAAAGCTTTTTTCTCCGCAGGTATAAAACTCTCTCTTTCTTTCTTGACCTTTCCTTGGCAGGAAGTAATAATGATCTTTTCAAATGGCACCTCGGAATAGTCATCTAATGCACTCCGTGGGCCAGTTTGACATCAGGACAAACTATGGTGTTGGGGGTTTGTTTGTTTTTTCCACAAGAGGCGGAAGCAATCCTTGCGTTCAAAGACTTCTCCTCTTTCATGTTCCTTTAGCGCAGCCTTGCTGCAACTGGAAATGTTGGTTTTGCTATGGCCATCCATACAGTACGGCCCTCCCAAGCTCCATTTTCACTGGCAGAAGGGTGCAGGAGGCCATCGAAGCTGAAAATGGAGCTCAAGGGGACTCCTGGCAGCACTCACGACTCCATTTTCACAGGCAGAGGGGTGCAGGAGGCCGTGGCAGCTGAAAATGGACCTCGGGAGCCCGTTTTTGCTTGAAGAGCGTTCGGGCCACCACAGGCACCCCTGACATGGGTGACATCAAGCTGGCCATACCCACTCTGGCCACACACACACACACACACACACACACCCAAGGTCAAACACAACTCTAATGCAGCCGTCGATGAAATCGAGTTTGACACCCTTGTTTTACAGGAACAAACGGTTTACAATCTCCTAGGTACTTTATCAAAACCTTGTTCTTTGGCTGGTTCCCAGAATATTTGCTTCTTTCTACAAAAAGATAAAGCATATTGAAGGTCCTTTTCGGCACTGCATTGCATTGCATTGCATTGGAGATAAGGCTCGTGCGGGCTGCATTCTGAAATTGTAAAAAAAAAAAAACACCATCCATTAAAGCATGATCAATGTTAGATAAAAGAGAGATTTGCGGGGATTCCTGGCCTCGTTTGGTATTCCATCTTCTGATAAAGGTCTACCAAGTGAACCAAACTTTAGAACAGGATGTTAACTGCCAAGGTCGTGTTCTTTGGCCATCAACAAAATGTTGCTTCCCCTGCCCTCAAAACGCGATGCATATCTCTATATAGCAAATTAATTATGAAACTGCTGCATGTTTTTGGAGCATGGCTTTACATTAGAAGAACTTCCTTTCGAAAAGCATCTTGAAATATTTGTTTGAGCAACCACTAATGGTAACCCTCCACTTACCACCACAACTGAGCGCAAAATTTCTGTTGTTCAGTAAGACATTTGTAAAAAAATCAGTTTAAAAGCACGATCAATATGAGGTAGAATAGAATAGAATAGAATAGAATAGAATAGAATAGAATAGAATA